CACACACACACACACACACACACACACACACACCCTTTTTTTCCCTCTTCCATTTGCTTTCATACAGTCATTTTCTTGACCCTGCGAATTAATAAGAACTGCCCCCAGCTCCAGATGATGCAAAACACATAGCCGGCTTAAATGGTTTTTGTAATACATTATGCTCTTTGATTTACTGCTCCTTAAGCCAAAGATCATAAGCAGAACTTTTGAGCTGCCACGCCACGGGAAATTGATGTGTATTCTGAGTGCATTTAAAGCATTTATAGTATAAAAAACGAGTGGAAATGAATGGTGTGCAGCATGTATTCAAGCTGTAAACAGAGCCAGGTTTAATATCCACACTGGATGTTCTGTAAAAAACAAAATTCTAAGCATGTAGTCTTTGACATTGTATAAAACTGTGGGGAATTACTTCTTTTTGATTCAAAAGCTCATGCTTGGAGTGTCATGTATGCATGTTTTAGGGAACTGATTTATCATGAGAGGAGAGAGAGTGTGGGTGTAAGTGTGACCTTATGTTTGTCTCTGGCGTCTGCAGCCTGTCCCTCTGGGCACTGGGGCCCCGATTGTCTCAACTCGTGTAACTGCAACAACGGAGCCCAGTGCAGCGCCTACGATGGGGAGTGCAGGTGCAGCCCTGGTTGGACTGGTCTCTACTGCACGCAGAGTAAGTCCCAGCCACCCCACCACTGTCATCCCCCCACCCCACATCCAGTTTACAGACAAACAGTGTCATCTACTGGTTACCCAACAGAACTGCAAAAGAAGACCAAAATAAAGCTTTCTTTGACTTTAATAAGAAAGTTTTTTGTTGTTTTACAGATAGCAACAAAAATAAATTTAATGGTCACTTCATCATTTTCCTCATAATACCTTCCAGTCATTTACCCGCTGATAGTGCAGCTCATCAGCATCCTTCCTGTAATTTGAATGCCATTATCTATAACCCCAAGGGTTTGCTCAGCAGTGTTTGTCGCGTCAAGCTCCTGCTTGAGTGCATAAAAATGGCTATTGTTTCTTTTTTTGTTTGTTTGTTTTCCTTTCCCCTTATCTTATATAGATTCCTACCTTCCTCGGTTGTGTTGTTCCTTTTTGTACGACTCTGAGTTATGGTAACAGCATAACTGGATTTTCTGCTGAAACAGGAAATCTTTCATTTCCATCCATTCACATTGTCCCTTATTGAGTATGCAGCAGAGACATCGAATTGTATTGATTTTCCTGTTCCCTTGCGATATGACCTTGACTCTTTACATTGTCTTCCCTTTTTTTTCCTGTTTTTTTTTTCTTTTCAACCCTCACTCAAATATTGCATACATCTCTGTCATCTCTGTCCCAGGCTGTCCTTCAGGGTTCTACGGAAAGGACTGCGCCGAAGTCTGCCATTGCCAGAACGGCGCCGACTGTGACCACATCACTGGCCAGTGTGTTTGCCGAACGGGCTTCATTGGGAATAGCTGTGAGCAGAGTTGAGTAGCACATTTTAGCTCTAAGCGAAATTACTCCAGAGGATGTGTATGTGTCCTCTAAACATTTTGGCTCATGTTCAGTAAGTGCTTTAATTTTGATAGATGTAGTAATGCACTTCTCTGCCATGCAGAGTGTCCCGCAGGTACATTTGGATACGGCTGCCAGCAGCTGTGTGAGTGCCTGAACAATGCTACCTGTGACTATGTGACTGGAACATGCTACTGCAGCTCTGGATATAAAGGCATCCGCTGCGATCAAGGTGAGAGCTGGCCGAGCTGGCGGAGAATTTGCAGTGCATTAGCGCTCAAACACAAATGTGTGTGCATTGTTTGGGTTACGCCACTCGCCTTGTTTTCTGTGTAGCAGCTCTGATGATGGAGGAGCTCAACCCGTACACTAAGATTAGCCCGGCACGGGGCTCCGAGCGCCAATCGGCGGGGGCCGTCATGGGCATCATCTTTCTGCTCCTCATCATCATGGCCATGCTTAGTCTGTTTGTGTGGTACAGGCAGAGGCAGAGGGACAAGGGTCACGAGATTCACCCCAGCGTGTCCTACACACAGGCAATGCAGATTAACAACACGGACTATTCTCTGTCTGGTAAGACTTTTTCCTAACAGTTCCTGAATACTGAATATTGTGCTAGTATTTATGTTGATTTAGAGAAAGCATTTGACACCACTGACCACAATATTCTTCTTGAAAAGCTACATAAATATGGCATTAGAGCACCAGCACTACAGTGGATATCTAGTTATTTGAAAAACAGGAAATAGTTTGTACAGATAAATGAAGTAAGATCTGAATTCTGTAACATTAGGTGTGGAGTACCTCAGGGTTCGGTACTTGGACCAAAGTTATTTATTTTATATGTAAAGTAAAAAAGTAAAGTAAAGGTGCTTTATTGGTCATCAGTGTATGTTTCCACACAATGACGAAATTGTGCTCTGCATTTGACCCATCCACATCCAAGTGGAGCAGCACGTGAATGATTTGGTTAATGTACCAGGGTTGTTTAAATGTATTTTATTTGCAGATGACACTACATTTTTTTGTTCAGGTAAAGACATAGAACAGATGTTGCAAATGATGCCAGCAGAATTTGTGAAAATTCAAAATTGGCTTAAACTTAACAAATTATCATTAAATTTAGATAAAACTAACTATATGATATTCTGTAAAAGAAAGAGAATTATTGATGTTTCATTTAGAGTTGATGGTGTTGAGATCTGTAGAGTCAGTGAGGTAAAGTTTCTGGGTGTCATCATTGATGAAAAGATGACATGGAGACCTCACATAAATTATTTAAGAACAAAAATTGCTAAATCTATTGAAGTACTGTTTAAAATAAGGGAGTTATTTAACGATAGAGCTCTGTATATGTTGTGTAATGTAATGGTTGTTCCACACTTGATTTATTTTATTGGAGTCTGGGAGGAAGCATGTAAAACAATTATAAACCCTATTTTCGTTTTACAGAAAAGAGCTGTAAGAATTATTGCTAGAAAACTCTACAGTCACCCATCAAATATATTATTTTATTAATTGAAATTATTGAAGTTTAATGAGTTGGTTGATTATAATATTTT